GTATTGATAAGGAATGAGATTATGTTGAAAAATAGATACTTTTGGTACAAAATAAATACTTTTTTATAAATAGGTTGCTGACTTATTGCTATGATTTGTTCATGTACCAATGTTTACATTACCTTCTTTGGCTGAAGACTGGCTTTTGGTACAGTAGTAGTTGTTTTGTGTATCAAGAAAATTGTTTGAAAACAATTATTCGAAAAACATTTATTCCAATTATAAATTGTTTGAATTAAGTGAAAGGACAATTATATTAAATGATAATTATTCAAAATACTTATGTTTGAAATATGTATGTGGTCTTTGAGAGAGTCAATGCTGATTTATCTAGAACTAATAATGCCATTGAAGGATGGCATACAGCTTTTTTTTGCAGCAAGTGTCATCTCATCATTCCACAATACGGAAATTCTTACATGCTCTTAAAAGAGAACAGGACTTGAAAGAAATTCATATTGCAAAAGTAAGAGCAGGTTGCCAAAATATCAAGAACACCAAGAAATACTGCAATGTAAATGGAAAACTTAAAAAAAATCCTTTAATGAGTACTCTTCAGTAGTTGACTATTTGTGTGCAATAGCATATAACTTAAGTAGGTACCTTCACTAATTTGATATACATAAGCTTTAAAATGAATTTTTAAAAATGAAAACACTTTCTTGAAGCTTTCATTTTAGCTTTAATTGAAAGCTAAATGATTTAAAACTTGCTATTTCCAGTCAGCAAAATACTTTTTGATGTATTTGAAACAGCAATTATATTGATCAGAATTGATTTTTTTCTTCAGTAAAATCAATCAAAATGGCCATTTTTGACACATCTGTAAACAAAATTTAATTCTCGGATATAAAAAGCTTGCAAAAATAAAATATATATTTCTGAAACATTATTTGAGGAAAATTAGCAAATTTAAAGTTAAATTAATCTGATTTGAAACCAATATTACTTACGTATAGCATAAAATGTTGTATACAAATATTTCTTAACTACAGGGTCTTGTTTTTCTGACTTGTTAATTGATTTATTGATAGTGGATTAACAGTCGAATGTGTTCATAATTAAGTATGGGAGTGGGGGTCAAGGCTTAAAACACATGACCTTTTAATGATATATTTATTGGTTTGGAACATCCATACTTCAGAAATTCTGCATGTAATCACACATATAAAAACAAATCAAAATTCTTTTAATAATATTCAGAGTCATCAGAATGTAATAAACATTACAATATATGATTAGTAAGTTTAGTTTTACATAATAACAATATTTCCTTAGAATTACCACATTGAAAATGAATTTTAAAAGATTTAAAATATTTATAAATTATTCAATTTAAAATTGTAAAAAAATGAAAACAAATCTTGTAAAGATTCATTTTTCATCAAAAATTTTTTTTTATTTCAGACAATATTGTTTTTAATATTTTTACAAGAAGTTTTGCCCCTAAAATCACTGGCTCTGCATTAAAAAATACAGAAATAATGTGCTACAAGGTAAAAAGTTTCTTTAGTCAGTGTATAAAATATTTTGGCATCAGAAAAGGCTGACAGGTAGAGCATAATGTAGGGTGGGAATAATCTCCATTGATTTCTGACATATCCTGAATTTAAAACAAAATGAAAAAAAGTTATCTGATTTTATTCCCCACTCAACTCTGCATTTCCCCAGTTCCCCAAAAATGGGATAACAGATGTCATCTCAGTCCAGATGGACAAGGGGTACAGTTTGTTTGCTTATCTACCAGCTGAGACAATGGTAGGCTTGTTACTATCAATAAATGTCCACAATTAGTTGTTAACCATCACAATTAGACTTGTTCATTCATTTGCTAAGTTCTAGTGACAATAGAAACAAAAAGGACACTTATACTTAACACTAGGAAGTTGAAATTTCTAGGGCACATAGTGTGGAAAGAGGGCTTGGAATATTTGATACTCACAGGACAGATTGAAAGCAAGATGGACAGAGAAAACAACACATAACCTACCTGGTGAGCTTGAATAAATGGATGGCAGAGCAGGGTTTGGAAGAGATAGCAAACAGACAAAATTTATTAAGATCTACAAAGGACAGGAAATTGTGGAGAGCCATGATTGCCAATGTTCTGAAAGGACATGGCACATAGAAGAACAATTTGCCTCCCCTTTTTATGCTTATTATAGGAAAGAGTCAATTTTTTTCAAATATTAATATATAACATTTGCATGTTTCCTATCACCCATTTCATATAACATTGATTATTCTCTAATAATATATTTAATTACTCAATTGGTTTATTTGTCTATGAAGCAAAATTCAGCAAGAAATCACCAACAAAACTTTACATTTATTTACTATTAATTTGTTTACTCATATGCACTACCTTCTTTATTGACTGCAGAAATCTGTTGCAGATGAATTGCATTTTTACCTTTTTTAAAATAAAAAAAGAAAGCTTAATATATTGAGAATGTTTTTCTCCCATTATCAATGTTACAATCAAGAAACAAAAGATGATGGTTTTGAGAATTTTAGAAAAAATACACACTGATATGACAGTTAACAATGATAGCATCAAACACTATCTTCCTTAGGCAAATTTAGTCAAAACTAAATTCTCCTAATGCCTTTTAACAATAATTTTGTCCAACCCAGTATTTGTCCATTTTTTTTCTGTTTCATACATACAAATTTTCCTAGACTATAAAACTCATGTGTAATTAACTTACATTTAATGTGCCAAAATGTTTGGGGGAAAAATAATTCAAATACTTTTTATCGTATAATTATTGTACAAGTTGAGAATTTATTTCTTGGCTTCTGATCTTTAATATACATTTACTTAAGAAAATCTATTGGTTTCCAAAGATAGTGTAATTTATGTGTTTGTAAATTTGTAGATTTTCTTTGTTATTTTAGCTATATATAACAGATCTGAGAAGTGTCTCTGTTTCATATGATCCCACTGAAATATGATTAACTATTTGTTTGTCTATTGTGTTACATAATGTAGCAACATATGGAAAAATAAACAACTTTGTGTATGTATGGAATATCATTAAATTATCTTTATGTTCATATGTGTTTTTTAATCATTTCACTCCAAGCAAGGTGATAAAGCCACTAAGTTGCAAAGAATTACTGAGAGTGAAAGAAACTGAGAAAACATTATTGAGTAGAAAGGACAATAAAAGAACAGCATTCAAAAAGACAAATGATGACAACATTGCATTTAAATTTTTGAAGATTGTAGTTTTATAGAAAAGCATGAATCTCAGCATGCTAATAGATGTTAATAGATTGGCAACTAGGACTCACTGTTGAACGAGCTAGATGTAAACATCATCACTTCTAACAGCTTATTTTCTTACCTCATTATTCTCATTTCTTGCTTCCCTACAATTTTCAAAAATTTAAATGCAACATTAATTGCCATCTTCTGTCTTCTTCAACTCTGTTCCTTTTTTGTTCTTAGCATAATCAACCCCACTAAAGTCTTCTCATTCTTTTTCACACCATGTACCCCCCCACCGCACTTTAGTGGCATTATTGCTTTACTTGGGTTGAAATGATAAAATATACTAGAAGCCAGAAGAGACTTTCATCAGCAAGAAATGCAAAAAAAGAAACTATTAGATAATAATATGTATATATTAGTACACCTGAGGAAGGCTGGAGAGCACATTATCCAAAACATTGTGATGACCACAAAAAAGATGCAGACAATAGTCCAAATGTAAATAATATGTCCAGAATATCGTAATTTGTCAAAGATGAAGTAAGAATGGAAATGACCACTGAACCTTTCCTTTTGTTTATCTCTATCTCTATACAATTGGTTGCATTCATTATTTTATTTACAACATTATGATTAGTTGACTTCAAGGTTAAGAGTAAAACCTGATTCGGATTTTCACTCCTTGGATAGACCCCCACTCCCTCCAAACCTGACCATGTCTTCAGAAGTGTAGCCATACTCACCACATTTGGCCAATTGAGGGTGCATAAGGCTATTATTTGGAGGTTTAGAATTCAGAGTTTTCCTTCTCCTAGACTGACTGCCACTCAAGGTTATAAAACTCGGTCTGTCCTGCTATTTACCTATAACGGGGGGGGGTAGGGGGAGAAGAGATGCATTTATACCTTTTCCCAAGGGTATTTGCATGTAAGTGAATATAATGAACTCAACTGGAATTTGAACTTGGCTTTCCAATTCCTCAATTCAAACTGCTATCCATTACTCCATATTATGATAACTACTTTTGTTTTCTGATTTTGCATCTGTATATTCACATCAGTTGATTGGTTGGTTCATATTTCAAAGTCTGTTGGGAGGCCATGCTGGATGTTTTTGCTCTTTCTGGCATCTCAGAAGGTAAGGAGGGTTATTTGGTGGTGCCTATCTCTTCACACAATATCAGTGGTATCAGAAAAGTGTTACTGACCTGACTGATCTGGCTTTGTCAATCATCATAACATGCAAGTGTTGAGACTTGTTAACACTGAAGAGAGTATTGGAGATTTTAGAAGAATTGCAGTAAGCACCAGGTTATGTGGATTTGGATGATTGTATCTAAAGGCAATAAAAAATAATAAAGCACTAAAAATGAAAGATCATTGGGGAGACATATTATTACAGTGTTTTATTTCAAACTCAGTTAAATTATACATGTATGTGTGTTGTGTGTTTTTGTGTATGTTAAATGATATAAGTACATGCAAATCAATCACACACAATACAGTTAATTAGATTTGTTTTTTATGGCTTATCAACTCTTTGCAGGTTACTTAAAGCCAGAAAATATTTTTAGATTGCAAGAATTTTTTGAAGATAATAATTATTTACTAATATAGATTCAACTAATTAAGCCATAGATGGGGGGAGAAAAGGTGGATTAAAACCTTTCGCAAGGATATTTGTGAATAAGTGAATATAACAAACCCAACTGGAAGTTAAACTTGGCTCTCTGATTTCCAATTTACAACCATTATCCATTAAACTACCCACACATCCAAGCTTGGAGCACCTAGTATTCCCAAACAGTCACCCATCTAGGTACTGACCAGGCTAAATGGTGCTTAACTTTGGTGATTGTATGAAAACCAGTGTTTCAATGTGATATACAGTGGGGAAAATAAGTCTTTCATCCCCTGCTGATTTTCCACCTTAAAAAAAATAGGAACGGTCTATAATTTTGAGGGTAGGTCCATCTTGAAAGTGAGAGATAGAAAATAAAAAAAAATTCTAGAACATCACATTATATTAATTTTTGTACATTTATTTGTTTTTTTAGAGCAAAGATTGAATTCCAGTTGAGTTCATTACATTCATTTATGTGCAAATGCCCTCTGGAGAGGTATGAATCTCTTCTCCCCCTACTGCTATAGGTAAATAGCAGGACAGACTGGGTCCTATAGCCTTGGGTGACAACTGGCCTAAGAGAAGGACAACTTTGAATTCAAAACCTCCAACTATGGATTAAATAGCCTCACCAATCTTATATGAAGAGTGTGTTGGCAAGTTGGTAGTGAAATGTCTTTGTTGGGTTGTGGTCAAATGGGAGATCAAATGGAGTTAGGGTTGTGATGGTGACTGAAGGCCTGAAGTGAATATTGAAAACAGCAACGTATTAGAAATCACAGTGGTGGTGTCTGGAGCCCTCCAGTGTTGAAACTGGCCTGTCGGCTGCAATGTATGTGAAGAGTCTGGTGAGATTAGTGAAGCTTGAGCAAAGTCACAGTGGTGATGAGAGAGACAATCATGGTGATGATGGTAATAGCATGGACAGTTGGCTTCTCAGCCTGCTACTGTGTCAGTCATTTATGGTGGGCCCCAGGGTCATCTTTTTTTTTTATGGGAACATTCGTGGTTGGTTATTTTATTTTGGAGATTTGCTTTGTGGACCAGATGTGATGTTTGAAGCTCATTCATAGAGAACAATGATTTTATCTTGTGTTTTGCTTTCTTAGTGTTCACATCAGGCTGATATGTAGAGTAAATCCGAAAGAGAACTAATTGTAGTAGAGGGTATAACAACAATAATCTTCCCTTGAAGATGTTAGTTCTCTAACAATTGTGAGAATGACACTCCATCTCTGTTCCATTGTATTTGTAGTTCTTCAAATAATTTCACTTAGTTTTGTCTTCTTTTTTTTTTTGTCCAAATTTTAACCAGCACCCTGCAAATTTTATTGCACACCTGCTCAGTTTATCTCTTTTGTTAACTTTGATTCATGTTCTTGTTTGGATTGCACAATATTTCTGCCTCTTAAAATTTCAAATTCATTTGCTTTTGTATTTTTCCAAACAGTTTCTGGCTTACCTTGTTATTAATGATACTAATCATTTATGATTAATTAGCAGACACTTTTTAAATTAAGCACAACTGATTAATCCTAATGCTTTAATTTCCCTGTTCATATGTTTGATATTCTTCCTTTCAGTAATTTATATTTTTTGTTAAAAGTAAAGAAACCGTGACTGATTGGTTCAACAAGTTTTCTATTATTCATAAGCCAATCAAACTGAAAATATGCTAACACTTTGAAGTATTTGCAAAATGAATGTAGGAAAAGAAGTGAAGAGCAGTATAAGATTTGTTCATTTGTTGGTAACAATCAGAATTGCTTCTGCTTTTGTTCAATAGTTTTAATCTGTGTCTTAACTACCATCTATTCATACACTTGTTGTTTTGGCACAGTTGTTAGAGCATCTCATTGAAAGTAGAGAGGTCTCAGTTCTATCCTTGATTAGTTATTATAACAAATTTGTTTAAGAAAGGTAAAAAACTTTATCCTCACTTCAGTGAGCCCTTTTCAAGAGCAGTTAATTTTGTAGAATCTATATCTGTATATTATTAATTGTTGTTCATTATAGATCAACTGAAGCTCTTTGATATTGGTACAGCTGATCCTAGCATTCTGAATATATTTCTTCATAATTTTCTATAATTAGGATTCAATTCTTCATTTAAGCAAGTTTTATTAAAAAGGCTAGACATTCTATGTTTATTGAATTTATCTATTGCTTTTGCAAACTGTTAATAACCGTTCCTAAACCTGGCTACTGCTGATGTAAAAACTGTCTGAAATCAAGGCCGTGTCCAAGCTTTAGACTAACATGAGTTATTTTCAGGACTTGACAACATTTTTCATCTTTCACTCTGGAAGAAAGCAAGGCAAATAAAAGTAAAGAAAAAATCTTGAAAATTAGCAGATCTAAAAAAAAAAACTGTCTAAAAACCAGCTTTTGAAGAGAACTGTTTTTGGACTTGTATTTTTCTTTTAACATAATGAATAGGCATATTTTTTAAAAGCCATATCCCTTCCAGACAGGTGACCATAGCTCTCCACAGATTCCTTTTCTTTATTAACTGTGAATTTCCATAACTTTTTGGGGAGAAACAGTGAAGCAATTTCATGTTGACTGCTTCACAGTTTTGAATTCAGACTTTCCTAGGTACATTAGTGCAAAATAAATGCAGCAGACTAGACCAGAATTTGAACTCATTTCACTGATTTCACTTTTTATGTTGAGTACCATTATATCACTTGCACATCCCTTGACCATAAATAAGCATAACTGAATGAAAAAAGGAAAGAATAAAACCTTGTGATTTATTGACTTCTTTTTTTTTTTTGTATTTAAATTTGTCATAGATGCACAGCAATAGGAAATTATTTGTTTGTTTTAATTATGTAAGACTTTAGGAATTGAAATTAAAAGATTCTCTCTGCTGGATTTATCTTGGACTCTATTTGTTCTAATTCCAACCAATTTATTTCTTCTATTTTATTTTTGTTCTGCCTAGGTATTACTATACCTTTTCTCTCAACTGTTCACTTAAATCTTTCCAAAAATATAAGCCAACTGGAGATTGTTTTATCTTCATAATTTTATGTTCTGTTCCCAGCTCAGTTTGTTACCATCTCTCCATCGTTCTTTACTTTTTGCATGTTTCAATATACCTCAATATTAAGCTTTTGATTAAACAAACATCTCAACTTCACTCTTCAATCTGCATGAGAACTTTTTTATTAGATGCACTTCATGACTACATATGTACCACATTCATTGCCCTTGTATAATGCTCATCTTTGCCATTTTTATTTTTGAAAATGGTTTGTGTAAAATACATACTGCAGTTCTGTAAACATGGATTCAGTTTTGGTGGTGACCAAATCATGAAACAGGAACTTGACAATTGTGGGGACATGAATGATATTCATGTCTGTTAATTGTAAAATATAAATGATCTTTTATGCATTATAATACTTCAGGATATAGGCGATCATGGCTCTCCACAGCCTCCTATCTTTTGTAGCTCTCAGCAATATTTGTCTTTTTACTATCTCCCTCATTTCCTGTTATGTTATCCATTTACACAGGCACATTAGGTAGTCTCCATCTGCTCTTCTTGCCTTTTAATATGTCCTGTGAGTATCAATTTCCCCAGACCTTTTTTCCTCATTAGGTGTTCCATAAATTTTAACTGTCTTTTTCTGATTTTAAGCAAAGGTGTCCTTTTATTTTCATTTTCCTTAAAACTTTCCCAGGTATTCTCAGCATCCTTCTGTAGAACCATATCTCAAATCTGGCTGTTGGTCTTCAAAAGGACCTCCAATCCAATGGTTGAATAGGACAGGAAATGGCTTGTAAATTTTAATGCCTCCAAAATGAAACTACTCTCATTTATCCATCATAGAGAAACTTCCCTGCCCACTCCTATCAGTATAGTTGATAATCGACTCTGTGAGAGTGCCTTACCGCACCTTCTTGATCTCATGCTTTCCACTGACCTGAGGTGGAACAACTACATTAAATCAATAGCTGCATCTACTGCCAGAAATTTTGGTTCTCTGTGTCATGCCAGAAGGTTTTTCTCATCTGAGTCCATCCTTCAAATCTACAAGTCTACCATTTGTCCATGCATGGAATACTGCTGCCATATATGGTCTGGAGCCCCTGCTGTTCATCTTGAGGTTCTCGACAAAATCCAAAGAAGGATCTGCCATGTGATTGATCCTGACCTGGTATCTTGACTCCAGTCACTTTCTCACAAACATGATGTGGCTTTCCTCTGTCTTTTCTACAAATATTTTCATGGCAACTGCTTTGACAAACTATTTTCACTGGTGCCTCAACTGCATGAATTTAAGTATGCTACTACATTGGCATCTTGGTCCCTCTCTTTTACTGTCGAAACAGTTTAACGTAACCACCTCTTCTACTCCAACAGCTTTTTCTTTCACCTTCTTTTTTTATCCTTTCCTCAATCCCCACTCTCTTTTCTTATTTTCACTCTCTGTAACCCCTTGCATGCTAGCATTTCACCCCAAACAAGATGGGAGTGCCCCACCTTGCTTGGGGTGAAATCTCAAGTTTTCTCTTCATCTGTGACAGAATTGTTCAGCATTCACTACTATATAGGAGGATTGATATTACGTAAAATTTTAGCACTCTTTTCTTTATTCTAACAATTTTTTTCTTTTTTCTTAAAACCCAGTTTAGCATCTTTTATTAGTCCAATACATATCAGATTTTTGTGTCACATTTTCTGTTTCTCTACTTGCCTGATTTTGACATCCACAATTTCTAGTTTGTATTTTAGGCTGTTCCTATTCCTCACATCCAGACATTTTGCTTCTTATAATTGATGGTTATTCTTTTCTTCCCACTTTCCTTTACTACCTTGTCTAGGAGATGCATTTTGTTTTCTTAGAAATTTTACTTCTATTGCTGCTATACGTAAGATTTTAAATCCTTTACTTTAGATTAATTATTGCATATACTACGAATGGCTGACATGTGGAATCTTTATGTTTGAAAACATGTTTCTTTTGTTTGTAAATCTGTTTTACATTGTCAAACATTATTAATCTGTATGATGCTTTCAAATTGCATCCTATTTTAAATCCTGTTGTGTTAATTCTAATTTTCCACTGCATAGTCGAACTTGATATTTGCTTTAATTCTGTAAGTGTGGTTTATATTTCAATATTTGTTAATTCCATTGATACATAGAAGAGCAATAAATTTTATCTACATCAGAATCATAAAGTTTATTTTCCCCATTTGTTGCAGTTTGTTTCAGCTTATTTAATTAACCTCCATCC